GGAACGATGGCCACCCCCCATGTACAAATACAATCCTACAGTGCGTTCAACGGCTGCGAGATACGGGAAGTGTTATTCCTCGAGGAGAAGGACGTTGAACCTTAATGTTGAAGATGCGGTGTTGAAAAATCTTTACGAAGACCCCACAATTAGTACTCGACGACTCGCACAGCAAGTAAGAACCTCATCTTGTACCGTACATCGCATCTTAAGGAGCCAGCTGTTGCACCCCTATCATATGCAACCAGCTCAACAGATTTTATCCCCGGACTGTGATCAACGAATGCGTTTTTGCAGATGGTATTTACGGCAATGTGCCAATAGAATAGACTGGGTGCGTCGATGCTATGCCTGTATCCGCGCTAATGGGGATCAATTTCAACATTTTCTCTAGAAATGGTAAGTTTTATTTCATTTTGTTCCATATTTTAATGGAGTTTGTTTAGTGCACGCAGTTGGCAACTACAGATGCTTAGGATGTGATTTGGTTTGCGAACTCTTGCAATATTTATTTTTCTTAGTTGTACTTTTGCATTGAAAAATTCCCCCAAAATTGAGAAGTATATTTCTATCTTTCTCGACGTTTTGTTTGCGCGGCTGGTCTACAGCTCATAACTCATCATACAGCACACGGACAGAACCGTTCCAGAGAAAATATTTTGGTTCAAATTGAACTTTAATTTACGAAAAAAAAAACGTAAAAATAGAAGTTTTTCGTACAAGACGTTTCTATTACAAATATCGATAGGAAGCTGTAGTTTAATTTTTATAGATTATACACACCACACCTTGTAGATCTTTTGCATACCAACATGTATTAATAAAATTTAAATAATTAAATGAATTTTATGCCAAAATAGAGGTAGATACTTTGTTAAAATATTTATACACAAAGCAATTTAAAAAATATATACAATAATTGTAAATTATAGAGATAAAGTTATTAAACTGAAACATTAGGTTTTAATTATATTATAATTATTGTAGCTGTAATATTCATCCTGTAATTGAGTTCTTTCCATCGGGTAAATTACAATTAAATAAATAAATATTAATATAAATATATAAAGACTGACTAAAATATATATTTTATGACTATTTGCATCAATACTGAAATCATAAATCTGGATTGAATCACAGCGCTATCATCTAACAAAATTCTTAATAGTAAACCGGATTACTGACAAAATTTCTACAAATCAATGCTTACACTTATTAAAATATCTAGCAATTTGTAAAATGTGTCTTTTAATAGTTGAGTTATGTCAAGAAAAGAAATAGGTATTTACTTTTCATATCAAATTAAATAAAAATTGGCATTTAAAATTTTCTGTGTTAAAATTAGGTACTTGTGAATTAAATTGAGCAGTTTTTTGACAGTGACTTTAATCATTTGTGAGCTATTGTATTTGTTTTTAATATTGTTTTACCTGATTTTATTTATTCTGTTTACAATCAATGTCAATTTTAATCTGTATTTATATTTTTATTAATTTTAGGATTATGTATGTATCTGTATTTTTAACTGTGTTGTAATTTTGAAAATATCAATGTTTCTTTTCTGACGTGTGTAAACACTTTGTGTAATAACACGAATCAATAAAAATGTAAAAATGTAAAATGACTAGAAACAATCAAAACCAAAT